AATGAAGCTGGTGAGGGGTCTGGAGCACAAGTCTGATGAGGAGCGGCTGAGGGAACTGGGGTTGTTTAGCCTGGAGAAGAGGAGGCTGAGGGGGGACCTTATTGCTCTCTACAGCTGCCTGACAGGAGGCTGTAGTGAGGTGGATGTTGGTGTCTCCCCCAAGTAGCAAGTGATAGGATGAGAGGAAATGGCCTCAAGTTGCACCAAGGGAGGTTTAGATTGGATATTAGGAAACATTTCTTCACTGAAGAAGGCACTGGAACAGGCTGTCCAGGGGAGTGGTGGAGTCCCCACCCTGAAGGTTTTTAAAAGACGGATAGATGAGGTGCTTAGGGACATGGTTTAGTAGTAGACAGGTACGGCTGGACTTGAATTTCTAATATGTGTATTGGACTAAATTTTTTCAATATATCTGCTAAATTGTCTAAAGGAGTATTTCTTCATTCCCTTGTTAAACTGCCAACAAGAGTAGGCCATCCCCATGTACTGGAAGATGAGCGGGTGGGGAAGAAAACCGGACTGGCTGAGCTGAGAGCTGGAAGCTTTGGCTGGATCTCAGAAAAAAGAGGAAGGTCTATGACCTTTGGAAGAAGGGGCAGGCATCTCAGGAGGACTACAAGGTTGTTGTGAGGTCATGCAGAGAGAAAATTAGAAGGTCTAAAGCCCAACTAAAACTTAAATTGGCAAATTCTGTGAAAGATAATAAAAAATGTTTCTATAAATATATTAACAACAAAAGGAGAGCCAAAGAGAATCTCCATCCTTTACTGGATGCAGGGGAAACTATAGTGACAAAGGATGAGGAACTTAAAGCCTTCTTTGCCTCAGTCTTTAATAGTAAGGTCAGCTGTTCTCTGGGTACCCAGCCCCCTGAGCCAGAAGACAGGGAGCAAAACAAAGCTCCAATGATCCGAGAAGAAATGGTTAGTGACCTACTCAGCCAATTAGACATACACATGTCCATGGGGCCAGACAGCGTCCGCCCAAGGGTGCTGAGGGAGCTGACAGAGGTGCTCACCAAGCACCATTCCATCCTCTGTCAGCAGTCCTGGATGACTGGGGAAGTTCCACTTGACTGGAGGCTGGCAAATGTGACGCCCATTTACAAGAAAGGCCAGAGGGAGGATCCATGGAACTACAGGCCTGTCAGTCTGACCTTGGTTCCAGGGAAGGTCATGGAGCAGATCATCTTGAGTGCCATCACACAGCACGTCCAGGACAATCAGAAGATCAGGCCCAGTCAACGTGGGTTTATGAAAGACAGATCCTGCTTGACTAAGCTGATCTCATTCTATGACAAGGTGACACACCTTGGCTGGAAAGCTGCTTGGCAGAGAGGGATCTGGGGGTACTGGCAGACAGCTGGCTGAATATGAGCCAGCAGTGTGCCCAGGTGGCCAAGAGGGCCAATGGCATCCTGGCTTGTATCAGAAATAGTGTGATCAGCAGGACCAGGGCAGTCATCCTTCCCCTGTACTTGGCATTGGTGAGGCTGCACCTCGAATACTGTGTTCAGTTTTGGGCCCCTCACTACAAGAAAGATGTTGAGGTGCTGGAACATGTCCAGAGGAGAGCAATGAAGCTGGTGAGGGGTCTGGAGCACAAGTCTGATGAGGAGCGGCTGAGGGAACTGGGGTTGTTTAGCCTGGAGAAGAGGAGGCTGAGGGGGGACCTTATTGCTCTCTACAGCTGCCTGACAGGAGGCTGTAGTGAGGTGGATGTTGGTGTCTCCCCCAAGTAGCAAGTGATAGGATGAGAGGAAATGGCCTCAAGTTGCACCAAGGGAGGTTTAGATTGGATATTAGGAAACATTTCTTCACTGAAGAAGGCACTGGAACAGGCTGTCCAGGGGAGTGGTGGAGTCCCCACCCTGAAGGTATTTAAAAGATGGATAGATGAGGTGCTTAGGGACATGGTTTAGTAGTAGACAGGTACGGCTGGACTTGATGATCTTCAAGGTCTTTTGCAACTAAATGTTTCTATGATTCTATGATTCTTAGAAAAAATGAATGCTAATTAATGTGTGTCAGTGGAGCAGTCAAGAAACATAAAAAAGCCCAACACACAAAAAAATGTCTCATTAGAATCAAAGCAGTGAACTAAGACAGTATACCTAATTAAATGATCATATGCATGCGACTTAGCCAAGTTTCAACATTTCAGATGCTCAGATGAGCTTTCTTATGAACACTAAGTACAAGATGTCTTAGCATTACTGGTAAATGGAAATCCACAAAAGACTAAGTATTTTTTCCTTATGTCATATCTGCATTGGCTTCATAGGACAAATATTTATTGAGTGCCCTCTTTTAGAGTTGTTAAGAGTTTGAAAACTTCACAATTTTTTTTATTCCTATTGTGTTTGTAGATCAATTAGTAATAAATCACATTTCTCTTCTATAGGCTTAGCTAACAGAAGGAGCTACCATGCCTGAGTAACTCAGAGCTTTCTGCATGCAAAAGCAGTTATATATACCACCAGCGTGCCTAGCTTCCTGCTGGAGGCAAAAGGAAGGGTTGCCAGTAACACAGAATGATCTTCTGTTTCTGATTGTACAGCCCCTTACAATTGCAGGCACCTGGACAACCAAGCTAGAGCAACTTTCCAATCTATGTCCTAATTTGAAATACTGTGTTTATAGCAAGGAAGGACAGTGGCATGCGGTCACATTTAATTCTTCCCCATTCATTCCTGGGACTTATGGAACATGGGCTTAGCTCAGTGCTTGCCTGTGACAGATAATAATACAGCTCACATATTCCTAATTACAGTGAGCTCATTTGTAGTGGTTGTTGAGGAAGAAATCTCGAATCAGTATATTAAAAATATAATTACATGAAATGGTTTTTCCATGTGTAATTTTGCAATTTTGAAATTTGATATCTCACAATCTTTCAGAATAGATTGTTGTATATGTCTGTTGTTCAGTAATATATACCTATAATTCCTGGATATCGCAGAATCTTCAAATAATCAAAGTCAAAACTGCTTGTATATTGTTTACCTTGTAGTCTCCTTTTAGTGCAATCATATGTGGCTGAGGTGACTTTTACCTTATGGAAATCCTTCTCAGTGAAACTATTTCTACCTGTGTGGTAACTTGAAGACGATGTGATGTTGTAAGCCCTAGCTAAAGCAGGACAGCTGCTTGATGTTGTCAGGAATGAGGAATTTGCAACAGTTTTATATCATAACTATGCTTGAAAAAAGGGCAGATCTTCATTTAGGCTGGCTAAGGGAAGCTAACCAGCTCCAGATATATTGGAAGTGCTGACAAGCCATATTAAATTTTAGCAGGCCAAATTCAGCCTCAGGTCCCTTTCCAAACTTGAAGCTAAATAGCTTACTTT